GCTGTCACTGGGCGAAACTCACGAAGACGTCTGACAACCTGTTGCACAGGCTCTGCCAACCTTAACACGGAAGGACCGGGATGAGAGGCCTCGCCCACCCGCACACCACAGAAGCGATCCAATCTAGAGGCAAGGCTAGACAAAGTAAGGCGTGGCCGTTCTGGGACCCCGTTCAGCCTAGCAACATGATGAACATGAGTATTATGTGAAGTGCGCTGCGCAAAACATTGTGTATCCAAAACAGCACCTGCCAGAATGAAGGGTTCCAAACACCTACCTTGCGATAAGCGCTCTAGGAACAGAAGTCGAGTGGCAAAAGCAAAAGTGTTCAAGGCAACATGACTTTGAGACCCCATACCACATTTCTAGCGCGTGATTGGCGATGTCAATCAGGACGGATGCGTGATCACACAGCTGCAAACGCAAAATCACATGTTCCGTGTCCGGAATCAACATGCATTGCGCGTCCTGCAAAATGGCAAACAAGGCGAAATATCCACACATACCTTCTGGAGCCACGGTGGGAACCAATTGCATCCTTGTCTCGCCAAAAGGGAGTTGGAGAAACTGCGTCAAGCTGTGCACGAAAGAATTCCACTCATCAGGAGCAAAGTTGTCAGCTGCGAAGACCTGGCCATAAGCAAAACCAAGCTGACGGACAATCTTGACCCCAATCCAATGTGATCCGCACGCAATCATGCAGTAAATAAGGCTGCGCAGATCCCAAGTAACACCTCGGCCAGACACAAAATGCATGGCCTGTGTAGTTGCGTCCCACTGCATGCAGGGCAAAATGAGACATTGACCTACGAACGGCTGATACAATGCAGACATCGCATCAAGTTCATCAGACCCTGCCCAGTTTGGTTGCCCCAAGCTTGCCTCGAGTCGTTTAACTATCGGTTGTCGCTGTACTGCCGATAGCGCGCCAGGAGGATGCAAAAAAGTGTGTAGGTTGGCCATAGACATTTCTGTTTGCGTTGCTCCCTCTTGACTTAGAGCCTGCGCAGGTACAGGCTGTTCCTGTCCCCCTTGAACTGGGTTTGCAATAGCTGGGTCGATCTGAGGAGGATCTGCAAAACCAACAGATGGCTCAAAGCAGGACAAAGGATGTCCTATAGCCATGACTGCCTTTGAATCCATGGTGGCATGCACTGATGTCTGCAGCTGAAGGAGGTTGATCAAAAATGAACGCCTCATGACATAAGCCATCTGCTGAAGGTCTGGTGTGCAGTTCGTAGAGAACCAGTGATTGATCGAGTGCTGCAAAGTGCGGTCAATGATCCGGCGGCGGTCAATCGACAGCGTTGCGAAATCTCTCTCAACCTGTGCAAAAACTCTTTGACGCCCCAGCATGTGCATCCATCTCCAAAGCAAGCTCCAACCGCACATACCTGAGATTTCATCATAGGCAGGTTCTTGAATATTTAGGCGATGTGCAGGGATGTGCAACAAGCTGCGTACAAAAAAAGTTACACGATTGACCCACATGGATGGAGTCTGAATTCGAACCTGAATAGGCTCATCAGACCGATTGATTTCAACTCCCACCCAATGGGAGCCTAGCATGATTCGTATGACATTTGGAATGTGCACCTGGTCAGCATCAAACTGGAATTCATCTGCGTGGGGAACATAACACGCAATTGGTGTAATACAAAACTGGGCATTGGTATGCCGGATGCGATTCAAAGCGAACGTCATTTCATCTGTCGCAAGCCACCCCTCAGACTGGCGCACAAAATCGAATCTCTCACCCAAAGTGGCCCTGGGACGCAGTGACGTGGTGCGAGATGTATGCCAGGAGATTGCACCACCACACCTGATCACAGAAGTGGAGATTGAAGGTGTGCCCAACTGAGTTTCCAAAGACCTATTATTCCCACTGTCACTTGCGACGTACGCAGAGATTTGCTGACAGTGACCGAAAGCATGCCTTGGCACTGGAACACGGGGAATATAAGACCAAAAAGCATTCTGAATTCGTGAAACTAGTCCATCTCCCTGGTTCGACAGAGCATGCAGCATGCTGTGATATTGGCCAGTAGGCAGGAATGAGGATCTTATCAAAACCCCACATTGCTGGACACAAGCAGGGAGGAATTCTTTCATCTCGTATTGACTTCAAATGAACAGTACAACCTGCCTGACCTCGAGATAACCTTGGCTCGTGTGCAGCAACATCTGGAACTGGTACATGATGGTCGGTTGTCGAAAATGCCTGGGTACAACTACGAGTGAAACATTGCAAACGGTCACAAAAACCATCATGAATTCGACCAACCTCAGACTCCCTCGTGAGTTCAGCTTCAATTGACCTGACATGGGTTGGAATCAAAATTGATGCGGCAGGCGCGGATAGCTCGAGATGAGAGTTTCCACCTATCTTCTGACTAGACGACCTGGACTTTGGCGGGACAAATGACTTGTTCCAATGCCTGGACGACCGCAACGGATTAAGCTTGGATATTCCCTGAAGGCACAGCCCCAAGCAACGTGAGACCTCTGCTTGCAACCTGGTCAAACCTGACATCGAGCGACGAATCGGTGGACCAGCGCAATGTGTATCGTGGCTTTGCATCCATTCCTGATGGAAAAACCATTCTGGCAAATCTTCAGTATTCTTCAGGTCCGAAAGGCTTGAACGCTGCGATGGCACCAGAGAGTTGGCGTAAACCCAAAACTCATCCTCACAGTCCTCAGCATGACACAGGTTCTTCTTATAGGCAGTGAAGCCTGTCTGCCAGCAACCTCCCTTCCTCCACAGAAAAAAGGTAGTAGCGCGTCCTGACCGCAAATAGCGTAGCAAGTGGCTAGGGACCTTCACAAGAAAAGGTTGGTCATCCGATCCCACTGCCTCAACCACTGCAAAATGGGTATGCCACATCACAGTCTGCGTAGGGACCAGGCAAATCTTGCGAACATGGGTCCAGGAGGCATCGTGGCGGAACACGTGTGATGCCACGAGGCATGCCATGGCTCGATCCGAACCAGCCCTGAAGCACAGGGCTGCGTACAGGCGTGCCCCCGTGAAGGCTCGAGCCGTAACGCCTAAAATTCCCCACTCCCGGACTGCTGGTTCCCTGGTCGCTTGGTCCTTTGGTACCTTTGTCCTGGTTGCTTGGTCTGGTCCCTTGGTCTTGGTCCCTCTCTGGTCCCTTGGTCCCTCTCTCGTCCCTTGGTCCTCTGGTCCCTTGGTCCTCTGGTCCTTTGGTCCTCTGGTCCTTTGGTCCTTCGTCCTGGTCTTCGCGTCCTTGGGTGTGTAGTTTCGAGGCAAGACGCGTTCAAGGTGATTTGGAAATCTGGTCATGCATCCTGTGAAGCACCGTGGCAGACCTTTTATCGCCAGACGTAGCAGACCTTTTTTGTGAGCCACCCTGACGGTAAAATTTAGACGAAGAAAATGTCAACCCAAGGTAGCAAACCTTTTGTGAGCCACCTGAGGGCAACATCTTGAAGAGGAAGGAGCCATTCCAACGTTGCAGACCTTTTGTTAGCCTTGCAAGGTTTAAACTTAGAGGAAGAAGTTGCCATACCAACGTAGCAGGCCTTTGTTTTGTGAGCAACCCGAAGGTAGAACTTGCTATTCCAACGTAGCAGACCTTTTGTGAGCCACCCGGGGATAAACTTTTGGTGCCACGCCAAGGTAGCAGACCTTTTGTGAGCAAGATTTAGAGGAGCAGTAGACCTTTTGTGAGCCATGCGAGGGCAAAATTTACAGGAGCAGAGCTGTTGTCAGCATAAACTTTAGAGGAGGAAGGTGCCATTCCAACATAGCAGACCTTTTGTGAGCAATCCACAGGTCTTGTGGTTTTGTGAGCCATCGTGAAATCCAGAGAGATCACGGTTGAGATGCAGAGAGGTCTACATCTACAAAGATCCAGAGGCCTGGAGGTCCAGACGGATCTGCAGGTGTAGAGGCCTAGAAACCCACAGACCTAAAGATGGAGGTTTAGAGGTCTTGAGTCTTGAGATCCAGGGAGGTGTTGAAATCTAAGTTCTAGGGGTCTAGACTTGCAGAGGGTGCAGAAAGATGTTCAGATCCAGAGATATCAAGAGCTCTTTTCACAGGTCTTGAAATCCTCAGAATTTTGCAAACGCCACGCAAACTGCACTTCAAGGTTCGCAATCGCTGCGCTTGCCACGAAGTCTGCGCTTATAGACAGAGGTTCACGCAATCTGCGCTTCGAGGTTCACGAAGTGCTGCGCCTGCCACGAAATCTGAAGTTCCAGTGCACCACGAAATCTGCTACTGGAGCTGCTCAAAGTGCTGCGCGCGCCACGAAATCTGCGCATCCAGATTCACATCGCGCAGCGCTTCCAAGGTAGTTTGCAGTGGCAGGCGCAGCTCTTTGTGAGAGATATTTTGTTCTTGATACAAATTAATCTTTCTTTTGACAGGATATAGAAATTTATTTTCTTTTTGATAGCCCGGCCTGAAACAAAGTTGTGCGTCTCTTAAGACACTGTAGTCTTGTGGAAAGGATGTGATCTGTGAGGGCAGGAGAGGGAACAGAATGCGTTGGGCTAGCTCTGTGGGCGTCACAGTAGCCAGGCGCAAAGGGCACCCCATATGGGGTGGGAGTTTATGTGGAAGACATGCATAGCGGAGGAGGACGTGATTGGCAAAGAGTGATTTGCAAGAAATCTTTGCGTTTCTTGGGGCCCTTTTTTATGGCGAAGGCGCCCCTTAACCATACGCAAAAGGGCACCCCATATGGGGTGCGAGTTCATGTGGAGGATAGGCACAGAGGGGGGGGCTCTTTGCCCGATGTGACACGCTCACTTGATCTTGGCTCTCACTGACGTCGAGGTGCCCCTTTCTCTCTTCCAAACGCCCCTTCATCCACAAGAACAAAAACACCCCGCCCCCCACCTGTGACTGAAGGCCTATCATGTCGGCCCCGCCTTATGCCTCCCAACGCTTCCCCTGCGCTCTCGCACTCAACCCCGATGACTAATTCATGTCTCCTTTCAGAGGCTGGCTTTCGTCCCCCCCTTCTCAGGTGTGTGTATATATATATATGCACAGTTATTGGTGACTTTGCCGGCCAACAGGCTGATGGATGTGCCGATGGCTCAAGCTTGAGCTAGACCGGAAAGCGTTGGGTGGACGGCTGCGGTGCAAAAGGTTGCAGCGTTGCACCAGCCTTGCTGCAATGGGTAAAATCCCAGCTTTGACTTTGAGTGGCAATTCAGATGATGTCAGGACCAAGATGGTTCTGGTGGCTGCCAAAGCAGCAGGCGTGGACTTGAAATTTGAAGCTAAAGCAGGAGTGCCCTCCATCCAGTATGGGATGAAGACCATCAAATACACCGGAGCGATGCTTCGTTTCGTGGGGAAGTGCCTTGAAGACACAGAGGTCTACGGAAACACCTTCTTTGAGTCGGCTGAGGTTGATATGTGGCTCGATTGGAGTTTGATGGAGTTGGAAGATCCTCCAGCAGACTTGGAGCGGGTCCTGAAAGTCTTGGAGAAACATTTGGATCAACGTACCTTTGTGGTGGGTCAGCGATTCACCTTGGCAGATGTGGCTGCCAGCATTCCACTCATTCACTTGGAACAGCAAGGAAAGGTGACAGCCTTGGGCACAGCCACAAAGAGATGGCTGAACACCTGCAAGGAGGCCGATCCAGTGAAAAACATTTTGGGATCACACTCCCCGCCGAAGACAGCACAGCCGGTTGTACCCAGCCGGCCTGCGGCAGCTTCTGCTACTACTTCCATCGCTTCCACCCCCTTGATTGATCCCTACAGCAGTAGTGTACGTGGTCGGACCGAGATCAAAAAAATTTTGGCCGCAGAAGATGGTGGTAAAGGTTTGATTGGGCAGAAGATCAGTGTTTGCGGCTGGGTGAAGACTGTGCGGGAGGCCGAGAAGGGGAAGTTGTGCTTTGTCCAGCTGAATGATGGTTCTGTGCCGCTAGACATTCAAGTTGTGATTCATTCGGAAGCGAAAGGATTTGATACTTTAAAGGGGAAGGTGGGCACTGGTGCATCTATGAAGTGTATTGGGCAAATTGTAGAGTCTCCTGGTCGCGGCCAAGCAGTAGAGCTCTCAGTCAAGGATTCTGGTGAGGTCATTCTTTTTGGTGGTGTCGATGCCAAGGATTATCCTTTGTCGAAGAAAGGCCACAGTCACGAGTTCCTGAGATCCATTGCACATCTCCGGCCCAGGTCCAATCTCATTGGTTGTGTGGCTCGTGTGAGGGCAGCTTTGGCACAAGCAACACATGAGTTTTTCAGGTCCAATGGTTTCCTTTACGTTCACACGCCACTCATCACCGCGGCAGACTGTGAAGGGGCCGGGGAGATGTTCCAAGTAACGACAATGATGGCCGAGGCAGAGAAGGACGGCAAGCCGCTCCCCATGGTGAATGGTAAATTTGACTACTCGAAGGATTTCTTCCAAAAGCCAGCCTTTTTGACTGTGAGCGGGCAGCTCTCCGTGGAAAACTATTGCTGCTCTTTGTCAAAAGTCTACACCTTTGGTCCAACTTTCAGGGCAGAGAACTCTCATACCTCAAGGCACCTTGCAGAGTTCTGGATGATTGAACCTGAGTTAGCCTTTGCAGACATTTTTGATGACATGAACATTGCAGAGGACTACCTGAAGTACTGTGTCTCCTATGCAATGACGCACAACCGTGCGGATTTAGATTTCTTTGAAGACAAGATCGAGAAAGGGCTGATCAAGCGCTTGGAGAACCTTTTGGCTGAGCCGTTTGCTCGGTTGACCTACACAGAAGCCATTGATATTTTGATCAAAGAGTCACCGAAGGCTGGCTTTGGGGTACCCGTTGAGTGGGGCATGGATTTGGGCTCCGAACACGAGCGGTACCTAGCGGAGAAGGTCTACAAGAAGCCAGTGATCCTCTACAACTATCCGAAGGACATCAAGGCCTTCTACATGAGATTGAATGAAGACAATCGCACGGTGGCAGCTATGGATGTCCTGGCTCCGGCTATTGGCGAAGTCATCGGAGGCTCCCAGAGAGAAGAAAGGCTTGATGTTTTGGACAGAAGGATAACAGAAATGGGTTTGGAGCCAAAGGACTACTGGTGGTACAGAGATTTGCGCCGTTTTGGCTCGGTGCCGCACAGTGGCTTTGGCCTTGGCTTTGAGCGATTGATTATGTTGACCACCGGCGTGGAGAACATCCGCGATGTGATACCGTATCCACGGTATCCCGGACACGCGGAGTTCTAATGTGCTGGAGCCGCCACAGATTGTAAGCGCGGGAAAAGTGAAAAGGTCACAAAGTGCAAGTGTGTTGGTTGTTCATGTCAGCTTTCTAGTGCATGTATATATAGCATTTCAGAAATTCGCTCACTGACATCGCATTTCAACTGCTTTCTCTTGTAGGTCCTTTGACAATGAAATCCTTCATGCCTGCCTATGACCTCATTGGATTTGACCCATGGGTGCCGCGCACGAGTTTGTAGAGGGTGGAGTATTCACCTGGCCTACTTCATGTCGCTCTTGAAGCGATATTATGATTGTACAAGTGGGCTGCGGGCTGCTGGCCAGGTAATTTCATTATATATCTATATACGTATTATATGTGATGATGGGTTCAGCCTAAACAATAGGCACTTGCAGGTACCAGGCTCTTGGCATTTTTCGACACCGGTCTAAAGGAGCTGTGTTGAAGTGTTGTTTTGGCTTTTCTGGCTTCGTAGCTGAAGTTGAACCAGGCATGAGAATGAGGCCACAAGATGATGCGAACACGAACTGGTTGAACATTCAGCTGAAAATGTGTTTGGCACAGCAGGTAGGGAGAGCTTTCAACTGATCGGACGCCGATTGGCCCCGTGGGCCTTTTCTTAGCACAAACACGCACTTTTGTGGCATTCTTGACTGGGGGTCCCGTTTTCTGCTCCCAGAGCGTCGATGGGAGACAAAACAAGAGACAGTATATAAAGCAAGTCAAAAAACGAAAAACGTGTGCTGCGCGTGCTGCGCGTTGCCATGGTGGCCTTGGTCCCATCAGAGGTTCTGGCGGCGCCACTGCCTCGACAAAAGATGTGACAGACATGATGTAATGTAATGCTGCACTCGGACAAGGTGCTTAGTGGTGCCAGACATGCAAGCATGGACAAATGGTTTTGTGCGATGAACACACTAAATCACTAAGCCTTCACGTGGTGAACACGTGTTTCACAGTGAGGGGGTGATCAGAACTAGGCCGCCCTCGCGGGAAGACGGCATCGATGAGGACTCTGAGGCGTGCTCCCTGAAACTAAACTCTTTTTTTGCGAAAAAGCTCCTAGTAGCATCCTTGCGGCCAGGAGCCCCTAGTAGCGTCCTTGCCCCTAGTAGTGATGACCTTTGTTCCTAGTAGCATCCTCTACCCCTCAGAACAACTGAGAACAACCATTGCACGTAGTCTTAGTTAAGGTTGTAACTCGCTGGTTCAGGATCAGCTGAGAAGATTTGGAGCACACCTGATCCAAAGAGCCCTTTGGCAGACATGGATGGACATAGGTGAATAGAAGCAGCAACATGTTGGACTTCATTGCGAGTCATGTAAAACTTGTTGTCGGGCTGTGTGTGCTGTGCATTTTGAGCCCTTCACAGTGGCAATGTCCACCTTTGGGTTGACGTGAGGCAGGCGTTTTATTGAGACTTCCGCAGCTCACAGTCGTTGCTGCAGCTGCCTTGTTGAGGGCTTGGCTTTGTTAAAGTGGATTGCTTGAAGATCAGATCATAGGGAAAAGCATGCGCTGAAGTTGATGTTTGATATGATCAAATTCCAACTCTCGGAGATGAGACAGTCTGCAAAGATTCCTGCTTTGACTTTCCTCATGCGAACCACCCTAGCCAGCCTGGAAATCAGGATGTGAAGACTCGCTCGTGATGGGTTGCAACTGGTCACTGACATGATTTCCATTTACCTCGCTGAGGTTCCAGCGCTTTTACTTCCGAAAGTCCTTTGCCGAGTTCGAGGTGCGAGTGCTGGCGATGGCGGCGGTGACGCTGGCCAGCAAGTCTCTAGGGCCGCAGCGAGATGTGTTTGCTTCCGTGCTTCCTTTAGGCTTCTGAGGAATCGACTAAGGGCAAGAAGGACCACTGAGGAATCGATTAAGGTGATGAAAGTTGAACGTAGCGATTTTCAAAAGATCCCTCTCCAACTAACATCAACTAACCATTCTACACACTTTAAGAACAGAACATGTTCTCACATTAAGTTTGCCTCGCTTACCAAAGCCTTTATCTAAGGCTACAAGAGCACCCACGAAAGGTGGTGGAGGTGGGACGAGATGAGGAAGGGCAACAGACTGTGCACAGATCAGGAAGGGTCCTGTAGTTGGGCTCCGAGAGGAGAAGCAGAGCAGTTGTCGCGCTTGTCCTTTCTGCAGTTTCCCTGCGAATGTTTTTGAGAAGAGTTTACTGTACCCCAAACACATAGGCACCATCTTCCAATGGCTTTCAACTCAATGAGGCAACACAGTGGGGGCAGGAATGCAGTTCACGCTTCAGCTGACTTAAATGTGCTTGCAAAGACTTGGCAAGCAGGATACTTGAGTGCCATGAAAAGTTTTTTAGCCCTTGCTGGTGACAAAGTGGCCTGTGAGGTAATCCAGGTCTTCTACCGGCTAAAGATGCGTGAAGTGGAGGTGCAGAAACTGGCTGAACCGTTGCTCACAGAGACTGTTGCATGTTGCTCACAGGCTTTAGCTTTATTCTGATGTTCCATTTTTGGCACAGTCAAGACTTCCTCTCCACACCTCGCCTCGAAAAGTATAGTTCAAGAACCCTGAGCAACTTTTGGCAGACTGTGGATTGACCTGTGGATTCAGCCGCGGTTGCCGTGATTGCCAGGAGGAGGATGGTTCTGCGAGCTATGCAGGGAAACCAACTCCTTTGCTGGATCCAACAAAAAAGGAGTTCGGTTCTGAGAACTTTCTGGGACGCAGCGCAAGCATTTTGCATTCCAAAGGCCAACTTATCATGACTTATCAACTAGAAGGTGTTCTAAAGGGACCTCGAACTGGTCAATCTTTACCGCATGCGGATTGGATATCCCTTTGCTTGACAGGGGAACAAAGCTTTTTCAGGTTCCACGATGCCAAGAAGGAGCTGCTCAGTGCGGAGCGGAACATCCTCCGTGAGCTGGGCTTTGAGGCTTGAAGCAGAGTTGAAGAGTCTAACAGCGCATGTGTGTGCAACACGGAGTACTTTGGAAGGTACTTTGGACAGATTCACTTGCTTTTGTTTTGCGCTGTGCTCCACCAACGCTTGGAATTTAAGGCTTAGCTGCCAATGGTTTGGCACGTCGCTGATCACGTTGCCAGGTGAACTTGCTTTTGGACCATCCGCACAGGCTTGTTACTGCGAGCTCTGACCTGCTTTTAAATCGTTTAACATGGAGAGCTTTACAGTAATTTAAGGGGTGATTGATGAGTGTCACCCGAACTGGTCGTGACAGGTATGCCATCGAATATATCGAGCACCTGCAAAGACCTGCGGAGCTGGCCCAAAAGGCCAGTGCGAGAGCACGCGAGGAGATGAAACAAGAGAAGTGCAACTGGCCCAAACTTATACTGCTACTAGTAGCTTCTTGTTACTAGTAGCAAGGGCCTCCAACCTACTGGCGATGGCCTCCACCTGATAGCGTCCTTGTTACTAAGTACTGGAGAAACAAAGTTTGTGCAATTTTCTCAACAATCCAGCAGGTGTGGAATTACTTGAACGATTCGCTGCAGACCAGCTTGTGCTGCTCGCAGGGGTCTCAACCTGTGACAGAAGCAATTGCGGCAAACTGATATTTTTTTGTAACTAATGCTAATTCGAATTTCTAATAGTACGGCCAGGAGCCCCTAGTAGCGTCCTTGCTCCTAGTAGCGATGCCCTTTGCTCCTAGTAGCGTCCGATCGCTCCTAAATGCATCCAGCAAGCAGACAAGGCATCAACCTCAAAACATTGCCGGTGCGAGCTTGGTCTTAGCGTCAAAGGACCTTGGGGTGAACCTACCGTCAGGGAGCTCAGGATGTGCCGCATGTTGAAATGCCAATTGCACGCTGCCTTTGGTCAATTATTTTCTTTCAGGTCAAAGCCTCCTTGGTGCCGGCCTTGGGATTATGTGATGGGATATTGGTAAGTCATGTGCCCGAAAGTTTGTTCCCGTGGAGTGTAAGTTTGTTCAAGTTAGCCTGCGATGCAAGTCAGGTGGGAGACTTTTGGTGTGCAGATCAAGGAAACATGACGTGTCAGAAAAGGTAATGGCTTTCTTGACCAGGTTGACATACTTGGAAATATGAGGATTATGCTTTAACTGACAGGACGCAGAGCTTATCGCAAGCGAGATGGAGGGTTTGTACTTGAAGAAAGCACCGGAATATTTTGAGGTTCCAAGGCCGGCGGGGTCATTTTTCATATGTTTTTCAATCTTCGCACTGATCGAGAACATTGCACATAGAGCCTGACATGCCTGGCTTGGGAAGAATTCACAACAGTAGATTTCGGAAGCAAAGCAGCAACCATGGAAAGCTGAGCAGTCCATGTTTGCAGGCGGAAAAAAGAGGTATTTGAGCCTATGACGCCTTGCCCGTCACCCCCACCATGTGGGCCTGCGAAGTCACCTTCTGATGAGGTACAGTACGTGTCAATTTTATTGGACAAGTTGCAAGGCAGGTGATGCATCAATGCGCATTAATCAATCCACTTACAAACGCCCGGTTCAGAGTATTTTTTAGTATCACTGGTAAGAGGTCGGAAGGGTTCACCTTGAAGGTCTAGAGAGAATTTCCGAGGGTGAGCTGCATAGCCTATACCTGAATGATGTTGACAGGAGGACCATGTGGATGAGGGAGAAACTGCCCTGTCCCGCCAGGAGCCGACGCCTCTCGAGCAAGAGCACATATAAATTCATGTCATTTACCCAGTTGTCTTGTTGCACTGCCATGCTCGTAGGCTTGTAGCAGACTTCAGATGAACAGCAACAAAGATCCCAACTAAATTGATGGATCATCGTGGATTGCTCATCATGGTTCCAATCTGAAAAGCACCTGTTCAAGCAAAAAGGGGTGCAATCTGTTATAGAGACAGAACGGCCAGGATAGCACGATCGACTACGAGCGATTGGCGGAGGTCATTGCGGAAAGCCAGACACTTGGGCCAAGCTGACAAGAGGTTGTTTGCGTTGCCTTGAAATCTGCTTGAGACCGTGTGCGCGCCGATTTGGAGATGTATATATATATATATATATGTTTCAGTCTTCACAATTATGAATCGTAGCATGTTCTC